CGCATGCCTCTGGGGTCTTCCATGCGCATGTTCCTGGGCGTGTCGTCAACGTCCTCCATCACGTAATGTTCTCCCTCTCTGAGGGACTCTGTAATACGAGGATTGCCACGTTGGTCTCGCAACACAAACACCCTGCGCGGCTCCTGTGAGCGGTGCGAAGTACGGGAATCAACACGTACCATCCGGCCCTGCTGCTGCAGCCGCGCCTCGTCCAGGTCCTCGAGCAGCACCAGGTCGCGCGGGCCGCGGCGGGGCATCATGCGGTCCTCCAGCATGGAGCCCTCGCCGCGCTCGCCGAACTGCCAGTAGCGCTGCCGCTCGTCGCCGCTCCACGCCAGGCGGCCGCCGTTGTTGCTGCTCACGCGCTTCGGCGGCCGGTTGAAGCCGCAGTTGGCGGCGATGTCGAGGCAGCAGTTGGGGAGGTACTCCCACCACATGCGCTCCTCGGGCTGCCCGTCGCGGTAGCCGCCGCGGTCGTCCACGCGGATGTACGAGACTCGCTCCGCGTTCTCGTCGCCGACCATCTTCATCTTCTTCCTGCAACGGGAAGCGGCGTCAGGGCCTCGGCGGGAGTGGCTGAACTCGCTCGCAATTTATGCGCGTGGATAGGAAATAAACGGTTCAGCTAAACCGGATTCAAAATGCTTGATGTGGTTGTGACATTATCAATAGTTTTACTCTCTTGATCTTAGTTTAGATTCATATATTGCATATGATTGTGAAAGACAACAGTAACATTCACCATTCAAGTTGTTATATTTGTCATAATCATTGTTAAAAGAGCCTTAAACGCTAAGAGTGCAAACGGTGCAGTTCTAATCTACAAACGTAGAATTCTATCTAAGATCTACACCTACGAATGATGCAATGCTTGGCAGGCAGTAAGAAATTGTCAGCTGACCATATTCTGTATTATAATGATTAATACCAAACAAAGTCTGTATATGTATTTACAACACAAACACACACACACAACACACACACACACACACACACACACATACACACATATATATATATATATATTATATATATATATATATATATATATATATATATATATATATATATATATATATATATATATATATATATATATATATATATTATTATATATATATATATATATAGTGTGTGTGTGTGTGTGTGTGTGTGTGTGTGTGTAGATAAGGACTAAAATTACTAAATTCTTACTGCCTGCATGTCTTATTTTACATCCTTATTGATAAGATCTGAGCATAGGATTAAGTGCATACATATCTATGCACTTACAGTATAGTGACCAAGTACAATTAATGAGAAGTAAAGTATATATCACATATGTGGCATATCAATATATACACATGACAGGTACTCTTTGGTGGAAAATAACATGCAAAAAATATCTAAAATCTACTTGAATGCTTGATTTGAAATTATTCATATTGCAACAATGACTAATAAATAATTAAGTGTATATATCACAAAATTATCATTGACCAAAGAAGCTAGAGGGTTATTTTATATTACAAAGTGGCTTACAGAGCAGTGAGATTTAAAATTCTGCAAAAAGAAAGAAAGTTCTTAAGCATCCTTAGTTTATAAATATATCTTTTTTTTAGAGTGAGAAAGAAAAGAAGAACCAAAGGTGATGTCATACAGAAAAAGGTAATCGATTGATTATTGTCAAATTGTTCTATTTAATCTAATTTTCTATTATATACACACAAGTGGGTTGGGCCATCTAAGTACCAGCAACAGATTATAACAAATATCTACATAACATTTAATCCTATAATCTAAATATCGGTGTATTAACAGCATAATCCACGTATAACTCTCAACAGCAGTGGAAGTGAAGGCACGAAGAGAGAATTAAAAGAAAAACAAAACACAGAAAGAAGAAAAAGATCGTATGTACAAAAGTGACGTGAAGGAGGAAACGACAAGAGAAAAAAAAAACTTAAAAACATCAAGAAGAGGAGAAGGAGAGAGACACAGAATAATCAGAGGCAAAGCGTGGTACGTGATAAAAGGGGGAGGAAGGGGTCTTACCTGTCCTTATAGAGAGGACATCCGGGGCAGAAGCAGCAGAGAAGGAGGAGGATGATAATGATGGCCATGAAGACACAGAGAACCACGACGCCGGCCAAGTAGGAGTTTCTCTCGGATGTCAGCTCCTCGTACTCGACGGGCTGGAGGAGGAGAACGATTAGCTCATGTCTTTGCTTGTTTGTCTTTTTTATCATTCATTCATTTTTCTTTTATCATTATTTTTTTTATTATTTGTATTTTTTTTTTTTTTTTTTTTTTTTTCTATTTTGTCTTAATTCCTCTTCCTTTTGGGAGCTTCTATTCTTTCTTTCTTTTTTTTTTTTTCTTTTCTCTATTTTGCTTGTCGTTTCAGTGCAATAATTTTAATATGTTCTGTTCTGTTTCCATTTTTTTTATGTAATCAATTCTTTGAAGAAAAAAATTGTAATGTGGTCATAAATATCGTTTAAGACGCCTGTACTAATACACATTCAGTGAAACATGTCCATTTCTTATTATTCAATAGGACTAATTAGATTGGAAAGAAAAACAAAGAAAGAGAGAGGGGGAGAGAGAGAGGAGGAGGAGGAGAGAGAGAGAGAGAGAGAGAGAGAGAGAGAGAGAGAAGAGAGAGAGAGAGAGAGAGAGAGAGAGAGAGAGAGAGAGAGAGAGAGAGAGAGAGAGAGAGAGAGAGAGAGAGAGAGAGAGAGAGAAGAGAGAGAGAGAGAGAGAGAGAGAGAGAGAGAGAGAGAGAGAGAGAGAGAGAGAGAGAGAGAGAGAGAGAGAGAGAGAGAGAGAGAGAGAGAGAGAGAGAGAGAGAGGGAGAGAGAGAGAGAGAAGAGAGAGAGACAGACAGAACAGACAGGAGACAGACAGACAGAGACAGAGACAGACAGCAAAGCAATACAAATAGGCTGAACGTCTGGGAAGCAGAGTAAAGAGGAAAATTTAGAGAAAATAACTTTCAGTTTGGCAAATTTCGGTAAGTACAGATTTTAAAACATACAATCTACATCTTTAGACAGAAAGGTAGAAGGAAATGAAACACGACCAATTAAAGAGCAAGTAAACAATTATATAAAGGATAAAAATCTCTGAGCAAAACATAAAAATCTATAAGTAAAATATATAAAAAACAGCAAATAAAACCTAAAAATCTGAAAATATATATGATTAAAACAAAAACTATAAATAAAACAATCTACAAAACAAATAAATTATAAACAAAACAAAACATCTATAAATAAAACATAAAAATCTATAAATAAAACACAAAAATCTATAAATAAAACATAAAAATCTATAAATAAAACATACTCTACAAACAAAACATGAAAATCTATAAACAAAACACAAAAAAATTAAATTAAAAAAAAATAATCTGTTAATAAAACAAAAAGCACTAAATAAAGCACAAAACACACTACACTAAAAAACAACACAAACATCACTAAATAAAACACAAACACCACTAAAAAAAAAACACAAACATCACTAAAAAACACACAAACACCACTAAAAAAACACAAACATCTAGTGAAAAAAAAAACATAAACACCACGCACCCTGGGGTCGTTCACCAGCGGTCTCGTCGTGTTCAGAAGCTGCTTCGAAATCTTCTCGACGTCGACCACCGTGTTCACTTCGTACCTCACCAGAGCCGTGACGACACTCCTGGTTTGAGGGCGAAGCGAGGGAGAGAGGGAGAAGGGGAGAGGAGGGAGAAAGGAGAGGGAGGAGGGAGGGAGGAGAAACGGGAAAGGAGGGAGGGAGAGAGGGAGAGGGGAAGGAGGAGGGAGGGAGGGAGAGAGGGGAGAAGGGAGGGAGGGAGGGAGAAGGGGAGAGGAGGGAGGGAGGGAGGGAGAGAGGGGAGAGGAAGGGAGGCGAGGAGGGAGAGGAGGGAGGAGGGAGGACAGGGAGAGAGGGGAGAGGAGGAGGGAAGGGAGAGGGGAGAGGAGGAGGAGGGAGGAGGAGAGAGGGGAGAGGAGGAGGGAGGGAGGGAAAGAGAGGAGAGGGAGGGAGGGAGGGAGAAGGGAGAGGAGGAGGGAGGGAGGAGGAGAGGAAGTGAGGGAGAAGGGAGAGGAGGAGGGCAGGGAGGGAGGAGGGAGGGAGAAGGGGAGAGGGAGAGGAGGGAGGGAGAGGGAGGGAGGAGGAAGGGAGGGGGAGAAGGGGAGAGGAGGGAGGGAGGGAGGGAAGAGAGAGAGGAGGAGGGAGGGAGGGAGAGGGGAAGGAGGGAGGGAGGAGGGAAGAGAGGGGAGAGGAGGAGGGAGGGAGGGAGAAGGGAGAGGAGGAGGGAGGGAGGAGAAAGAGGAGAGGAGAGGAGGGGGGAGAGAGGAGAGAGGGGAGAGAGGAGGGGAGGAGGGAGGGAGGAGGGGAGAGGAGGAGGGAGGGGGGGGAGGGGAGAGGAGGAGGGAGGAGGGAGAAGGGGAGAGGAGGAGGAGGAGGAGGGGAGAGGAGGGAGGGAGGAGAAGGGGGAGAGGAGGAGGGAGGAAGAGAGGGAGAGGGTGAGGAGGGGAGGGGAAGGGGAAGAGGAGGAGGGAGGAGGGAGGAGAGGAGAGGGAGGGAGGAAGAGAGGGAGAGGAGGAGGGAGGGAAGAGAAGGGTGAGGAGAGGAGGGAAGCCCACAGTTAGTACGTGAAGAGGTCATGGTGTTTCGTTTGAGTTAATACTGTTTATTAATGCTTATTTTTTCTCATTGTAGTGATTTTATAATCATGATTGTTATTAAGTTTATGATTGTTATTATTAAATTAATTGGCATCTACTGTACAATCCAAAAACTACTGCAGCCCTACTTTTGTTTCTATAATGAGCAAAACAATCTAGTGAGAGCATGATCTTGAATTTACATTATGCTATTCAGCTAAAAATGAATGTATGCTAATGAGCCAAAGAAATGTATTGCATTATTTACATACTCTTCTTCCGGTGGGTGGAGTCTCGAGAATGCCGAGCCTCCTTCAAGAAAATTAGTCTTTGAGAATTGCTCATATTATCTTAAGACTTATAAGGACATGAATCAGAACGAGTTATAATCTTGACTTTGATCGTGTAAGTAGTTTTTTTTATATATAGTTTTTACGTGATTTGTAAAATTTATTCTTTTTTATATTGTGTATATGTGACGTTTTTTTTTTTTTTTTTTTTTTTTTTTTTTTTTTTTTTTTTTTGTCTCTCTTTCTTTCTTTCTTGAAGGTTTTGAGGCATGTCCGAGACGCCACCGGAAGAAGGGAAATGGAGACAGTGCGGAAATGACAACATTTACATTACGTGTCCTTGGTACTGACGTGAGCGCAGACATTGAGCCAAAAAACACTGAAAATTCATCATGTTAATCATATAAAAAAAAAAATCAATTGTTTTTTTTTTTTTTTTTTTTTTTTTTTTTTTGCTGGTGTTTATCCAAACAACACTTAGCTTTGCTTCACTCGGTGGTACACTGTCTGGAAATATATATGAACATGCTGTTTGTTATTTGTTGTGTTTGTTTAAAAAGGGGTTCTGAACACTGTATGAAGGAATATACAATTGAAAATTATATGAAAAAGATAATATTTTGGATTTTCTGAACAAAGCTGATTCTATGTTTATATTTTTTTTTCTTTTTTTACATCATTCTTGGTTTATATCTTAATTTCTTTATTCTATTATTATTATTATTATTATTATTATTATTATTATTATTATTATTATTATTATTATTATTATTATTATTATTATTAAAACTGATTTTGATAAACTGGAAGTGTTTTCATCACCGGAAAAATAATTCTGTCTCTGCTAACATCAGGCTAGATTAAGATGATAACTAGAATGCATCTCCAAAGAAGCTTCTCTACTTATCAACAAGCTGTTCTGATTCTTTAAGATATACTGTTAATTTAGGTGTTATTTCCTACATACGTTCATACGTGGCTACACTGTTCCTTGAAGTGAAATTGAATATTTATGATAATGTATATTTCTTTCTGAAAAATCTGTAAAAGTGTCACAACATTGAGTGATGGTGAGGTTCACTTGTGCAATCGTCACGTGATTTGCAGAACTCCAAAACGGACTTTTCCAAAATCAAATCCTCTTCAAAAATATGAATATAATACATACATATATGCATATATATATATATACATATATATATATATATATATATATATATATATATATATATATATATATATATATATATATATATATATATATATATATATATATATATATATATTATATATATAATATATATATATATATATTATATATATATATAGTCAGTAATACATGAGGTTCAAAACAGTGAAGCTCGATGATTTAGTTCAGTGTGTGGATACACAAAGCATGATTTTTACAGCAATAAATAAATACCAAACAAACCACAAAAATAATTCTCTCTCAAAACTCAAATAAGCATTGGAATCAACGGCCAAGAACATCTAAAAAGTGATCGTTGACCCCCCTCCGACACCACGGGGGGGGGGGGGAAGTGGTGTCGGGGGGGGGGCGGGGCAAGGGGGTGTGTCAGGTGTCATAATCGCTCTTCCTCCATCTACAGCTTACTTATCCAAAGAGGACCTTGTGTCGTCTGCCACGCTGTAGGCTTGATCTCCTTAATTTCCGTGATTCCCCCGTCAGCGTCTCCAGCTGGTTCTCGATCTCACGCTGTAGGGGGGAGGGGGGGGGGAGGGGGGAGAGGGGGGGTCAGTTCGGTGAAGTGGGGGGTTTACTTCGGGTTATTTGTGGATATGTCTAGGTCTGTCTATTGCTATATATTTTCTCTATAGGTTATAAATTTATATTTATGGATATTTGTATCTGCAAGAAGTATATTTACTGTGTATTTTCCTGTTTGACTATACATTCTATCTATCTTTCTATCTATAGATCTATCTATATATCTATATCTCTATCTCTATCTTTCTCTCTCTCTCTTCTCTCTCACTCTCTTTTTATCTTTTTATTTTTTTTCTCTAGGTAAAAAGTTTTTTCATCAATTATATCCATATATCCTCCTAACCTACCCTCTAGTACCAATTTTCTTACTAACCCTCCGTCTTACCTTACAGACAACATTTTTAACACATACCTTACTTACCCACTTACCCACCTACCTCCCTCCCTCCCTCATTACCCCACAATAACACCCTTTTCCCGTATAACATTCACCCTTAATTGAAAACAACAAAGGCAGCCTTACCCTGCTAGGCCCTACCTCCACCCTTGCCCATCTAACATTCTCCCTTAATTGAAAACATCACAGGCAGCCTTACCTTACTAGGCCTCCACCCTTGCCCATATAACACCTTAATTGAAACAACAAGGCAGCCTTACCTGCTAGGCCTACTCCACCCTTGCCCATATAACACTCTCCCTTAATTGAAAACAACAAAGGCAGCCTTACCTTGCTAGCCCCTACCTCCACCCTTGCCCATATAACAAATTGAAAACATCACAGGCAGCCTTACCTTACTAGGCCCTACCTCCACCCTTGCCCATATAACACTCTCCCTTAATTGAAAACAACAAAGGCAGCCTTACCTTGCTAGGCCCTACCTCCACCCTTGCCCATATAACACTCTCCCTTAATTGAAAACAACAAAGGCAGCCTTACCTTGCTAGGTCCCAAACATCACAGGCACTTACCTGCTAGGCCCTACCTCCACCCTTGCCCATATAACACTCTCCCTTAATTCAAAACAACATCACAGGCAGCCTTACCTTACTAGCCCCCACTTCCACAGGTGGTTTTGGGTAAATGAAGGTAATAAACCTGTCTACAAATTCCTGTGTGAAGATTTGCACAGGTACGCTCTTGCTCAGCTGGGGTGTACCTGAGAGAAACGTTTGTGGTTGTCAATCTCTGTGAAACGTTTGATGAAACGTTTGTGAGTGTCCATTGAAGGCTTGGTTCTGTTTATAGTCTATGTGTTTGTAAGGGTCTGTGGCAGGTTGGGTTCGATCTGTTGTTGATATGTTTGTACATGTTTATGATAGGTGTGAATTGTGTTTATAGTTTATTTGTTTGTTTGTGTTTATGGCAGGTTTATTTTGATTAATAGATTGGATGTTGCTGGTATTGTAGTTGTTGTTTTGTTGTTGTTTTGCTGTTGTTTTAATATCCATTCCTGTATAATACTTTTTATATTTTATATGTAGCGAGAAGGGAGATAATTGTAGAGCTAATTATTTCATTATGATGTTAATGATTGTGATAACAGCGAAATTGAAATATTAATTAACTATGATGATGATATTCATGAATGAATAATGATATTGATGATGGGAATGATAATGATTCGAACAACAACAAGAACAGTAATAATATGGTAACAGTGATGATACCAACAGAAAAAAAAAAATAAAATATATTAATAAAATATAAAAATTAATAAAAAAAAATATAAGAATATTAGTAAACATCTCAAAAAAATCTCCCATAAAATACAAAAATAAATATAAAATATCCATTTCTCTTTCTTAGATATAAAAGAATGATAAAACCATACCTTGGTCAGACGCCGTGACCGTGAACTTGATGACCTCATCGTTGCCAAAAGCTCTCTCCGAGCGACCTGTGTTCAGACCAGCCACCTGGGGGGATATTTGGAAGGAAAAAGGTCATCATTATTGATATTGTAATTGTTTTTATTGTTGTTATTGATGATGATGATGTTGTTATTACTATAATAATATTTGTTATTGTTATTGTTAATTTATTTTGTTATTGATGATGATGATGATGATGTTCTTATTACCATAATTATGTTTGTTATTGTTATTGTTGATTTATTGTTATTGTTAGTTTATTGTTATTGTTAATTTATTGTTATTGTTATGATCATCATTATTATCATCATTATCATCATTACCATTATTATTTTTCCTATACCATCAGCCTCATCATTATTAACATCGCATTTTATCAATATGATCATTACCTACTTTTGCTTTTTTATCTTTATCTATTTATCTATTTATTTATCTTTTTTGTGCTCTTTTTTTTTTCTTATTTTGCTCTGTTTTTTTTTTTCTTTTTTTTTTTTTCTTTTTTTTTTTTTTTTTTTTTTTAGCCTCTCTGTGGCCTCTTCTGTCACTCACCTGGGGGTAGCTGAGACCCTGAACCACAGAGATCTCCCCGGAGGTTCTGTCGACTCTAAAGTTCTGTGAGAAGAGGCCCGAGTCGATGCTGTAGACGACCTGGTTGTTGGGTTCTTCGGCGTCGTCGTCAACAGCCTGTAGGAGGAGGAATGGGAGAGGTTGTAGGTTGTAGGTTGGTGGTTTGTGGGTTGTAGGTTGGTGTTGGTGGTGGTTGTGGGTTGTAGGTTGTAGGTTGGTGGTGGGTGGGTGGTTGTAGGTTGTGGGGTGGGTTGTGGGTGGGTGGGTTGTTGTGGTTGTAGGTGTGGGTGGGTGGGTGGTGGGTTTGTGGGTTTGTTAGGTTTGTAGGTTGTGGGTGGGTGGTTTGTGGGTTGTAGTTTGTAGGTTGGTGGGTGGGTGTTGTGGGTTGTAGGTTGTAGGTTGTGGGTGGGTGGTTGTGGGTTGTAGGTTGTAGGTGGTGGTGGGTGGGGTTGGGGGTGGGTTTGGTGGTGGGGTGGTGTGGTTAGGTTGTGTGGGGTGGGGGTTGTGGTTGTAGGTTGTAGGTTGGTGGGTGGGTGGTTGTGGGTTGTAGGTTGTAGGTTTGGTGGGGTGGTTGTGGTTGGTTGTAGGTGGTGGGTGGTTGTGGTTGGGGGTTGGTGGTTGTGGTTTGTGGTTGTATGTTGGTGGGTGGGTGGTTGTGGTTGTAGGTTGTAGGTTGTGGTGGGTTGTTGTGGGTTGTAGGTTGTAGTTTGTGGGTGGGTTGGTTGTGTGGGTTGTAGGTTGTAGGTTGTGGGTTGGTGTTTGTTGTGGGTGGTTGGTGGGTGGGTGGTTGTGGGTTGTAGGTTGTAGGTTGTGGGTGGTGTTGTGGTTGTAAGGTTGTAGTTTGTGGTGGGGTGGTTTGTGGGTTGTAGGTTGTAGGTTGTGGGTGGGTGTTGTGGTTGTGGGTTGTGGGTTTGTAGGTTGGTGGGTGGGTGGTTGTGGGTTGTAGGGTGTAGGTGTTGGGTGGGTGGTTTGTGGGTTGTATGGTTGGGTGTTGTGGGGTGGTTGTGGGTTGTAGGTTGTAGGTTGTGGGTGGGTGTTGTTGGGTGTGTAGGTTGTAGGTTGGTGGGTGGGTGGTTGTGGTTGTAGTTGGTGGTTGTGGTGGGTTGGTTGTAGGTTTAGGTTGGTGGTTGTGGGTTGTAGGTTGGTGGTGGTGGTTGTGGTTTGTGGGTTGTTACGTGGTTGGGTGGTTGGGTTGTGGTTTAGTTGGGTAGGTTGTAGGTGGTGGTGGGGGTAGGTTGTGGTTTGTGGTTGTTCAGGATGGGTATTGTTATTTTTTTTTTTTTTTTTTTTTTTTTTTTTTTTTTTTTTTTTTTTTTTTTGAGGGGATGATTTGTATTTCTCTGAACTTCCTATGTCTTTCTCTCGATTTGCTCTTTCTCTCTGTTATCTTTCTCTTTACCTCTCTCTCTCTCTCTCTCTCTCTCTCTCTCTCTCTCTCTCTCTCTCTCTCTGCTCTCTCTCCTCTCCCTCTCTCTTCTCTTCCTCTCTCTCTCTCTCTCTCATTCAATTCTCCGACCCCCCTCGCCCCCCCCCCCACTACACAATCACACAAACTCGTTCTCCAGATTCACCTCCCCCCCCCCGCCCTTTCCCTCCTTTCATATTTTTTCAAGCTTGACCTCTTGACCCCCCCTTCTCTATCCCTCAAATCCTACCTATCCCAATTGATCTTACCTGAACAGCCTCCCTTTCCTTAACCCCTAAACTCTACCTCCCTTCTTCTCTTGACCTTATATGACCCTACCTAAACACCTCTCCCCTTCCCCTATCTTCAAATTCTATCCCCCTTCCTTGACCTCATATGACCTTACATGAACCCTCAGAGCTGACTCGAGACTCTTACATGACCTTACCTGAACCCTCAGAAGTGACTCTAGACTCCCCATAAATTCTATCCCGTCCTTGACCTCACATGACCTTACCTGAACCCTCAGAAGAGACTCTAGACTCCATCTTTCTTGACCTCACATGACCTTTGCTAAACCCTCAGAGGAGACTAGAGACTTTTTTCCAAACTCTATCCCGTCCTTGACCTCACATGACCTTACCTGAACCCTCAGAAGAGACTAGAGACTCCCCCCCCCTTTCATGACCTCGCATGACCTTACCTGAACCCTGAGAGGCGACTTGAGACTCGCCCGATCCGGGGTCATCACGCCCGTGTAGATCGCCTCGAGGAACCTGGGCGGCTTGTCATTGATGTCCTTCAGGTGCAGCAGGATCCTCGCCGTCGCTGAGTTGCCTACGCCGTTGTCATCCCGGGCCTCGACTGTCAGCTGGACCTCTGTTTTTTTTTTTTTTTTTTTTTTTTTTTTTTTTTTTTTTTTTTTTTTTTTTTTTTTTGAGGGGGGGTGGAGTGGGGGGGAGGGGGGGGGAGGGAGAAGAAGGAGGAAGAGATGGTTAGATGCGTGATTTTTTTTTTTTTTTTTAATGGTTTGTAAATTTTTTGTTATTGGTTGTAAAAGGGGTTTTTTTTAATGGTTGTAAAAGTTTTTTTTTAATTGGTTGTAAAGGGTTTTTTTAATTGGTTGTAAAAGGATTTTTTTACTTAAATGGTTGTAAATGTTATTTTTAATGGTTGTAAAGAATGATTTTTAATGGTTCTTTAATTGGGAGTTATTAATGAATATTAATTTTCTTTCTTTTTTGAGCTGCGGTTCTGCTATTGGTGTGAGAGTGTAATTCTTTTTCTTTCTCTTTTTCTCCGTTTTATATCTATAAGATGTGGAATAAAAATAGTGATAACAATAAAAGTGATACTACTAATCATGATGATAATAAAAATGATAAGAATTATCATTACTATCATCATCATATAAGAGAAAGAAGAAGAAAGTCTCTCACTCTGATAAATCATCTATAATTTGTTTACATCTCAAACGTCACATATTCTTCACTCTAATTAAAAGCACGATCTAATCTCCTTTTACTATCACTATCATTATTATTTATTTCAGGAATTCGCTATTCACTATTATGATCAACTCTGCCAGGTGATCCCATTTTTATATTGGCTAAAAACCGTAGCTTTAAGGGGATATATTTGCAATATTTTGGCTATACACGTGAGGATGTGCGTGCGTGTGTGTGTGTGTGTGTGTGTGTGTGTGTGTGTGTGTGTGTGTGTGTGTGTGTGTGTGTGTGTGTGTGTGAGAGATTGAATGAGAGAGAGTTAGTGTGTGTGTGTGTGTGAGAGAGAGAGAGAGGAGAGAGAGAGAGTTAGTGTGTGTGTTGTGTGATTGAATGTGTGTGAGAGAGAGAGAGAGAGAGAGAGAGTGAGTTTAGTGTGTGTGTGATTGAATGTATGAAGTGAGAGAGAGAGAGAGTGTGAGTTAGTGTGTGTGTGGTGTGTGGTGTGATTGAATTTGTATGTGTGAGAGAAAGAGTTAGTTGATGTGTGTGTGTGTGTGTGTATGATTGTGTGAGAGGAGAGAGAATTGAATTTGTGTGAGAGAGAGAGAGTGTTAATATGTGTGTGTGAGAGAGAGAGAGAGAGAATGAGAGAGAGAGAGAGACAGAGAGAGAGAGAGAATGTCCTTCTTTATCTGTGAGTGTGTGTTTGTGGTCGCGTGTATGCAACATTTGACCTTGTAAGAGATAACATTGAAAACGTGCATTCATTATGAATCACTCGAGATGCAAATATATGCAAATAGAGAGAGAAAAAAAAAGGTGTTCGGTAGTGAAAAATAATTGGTAAAAAAATACCAATATAAGTAATGTGACAAAATATATTTACAGAAAAATCATGACATTGCCAAAAAAAAAAAATAAAATCAAAATTATAAATTCAGCCAAAAAAGAGAAAAAAAAAACGCAGAAAAGACCTCTAAAAAGCATAAAAGACTATTCACTCAAAATTGGAAAAAGGAGAAATTTGAAGAAAGAAGAAAAAACAAAATGTATATATTTACAAAATTTGCTACCAAACCTGCAGAAAAAATACTAAACAATAAAGGAGTGCGGAGGATGCATACACAGTGAATATCAGTATATACGTACATACATACATACATACATACATACATACATATATATTATATATATAGTATATATATATATATATAGTATATATATATTATATATATAACTATATATATATATATATATATATATATATATTATATATACATACATATACATACATATACCACACATATCCGCATACAGCATATCCACAACGTACACATCCTCCTCCTTTCATCCTGTTTCTCTGTCTGTCTTTTTTCACATTAAAACGAGAACCTCATGTTACCACCTGGATTGAGCTCTCCTGATCGAAATCATGGTCTGTTGGGGTTGTGCGCAGGTACGAGGCCGCTGAGAGGGTTCCAGTGTGTACATTGGTGGTGTGTGTGCTGCAGTGTGTGGCTGTGGTTTCGTGTGGTTGCAAGCTAGCCCGTGAAGCGGACGTTGTAGCATGGTGCATGGAAAGCTCGAATGTCGCCCCGTATGTTTGACATAGTTCGGCGTCGGTGGCATTTGGAGTTCCTAGGGCTGAGGGGTCGGGGGGTGGGGAGAAGAGGGAGAGGTTGGTGTGTGAGGGAGAGGGGGGTTGTGGGTGGGGGGAGAGAACGGGGTTGCGGGCGACATGGGCGGCGAGAAAGGGGGTTGTGGAGGGAGAGAGAAGGGAAGGCGGAGAAGCGGGGGGCAGGGAAAAGGGGGTTGTGGGTTGGGGGGGAGAAGGTGGTCGAAGATTAGGCGGTCGTGTTATTGTCTGTCTTTTATTTGACAATGTTTGTCCAAATTGTATTATTTCATGTGATTATCTAGTATCGTTATCATCATTCATATCTTCAAAAATTATCGTTTCCAAAACAATTTTATTCATCCCATTTGTTTTTTCGATCGTCATCATCATTATTGTTATATTCATCGTCATCATTATCCTTCATTATTATATCCTTCATTCATGCCTTTCCATCCATTAGTACTCAAACCCTTTCTATCATTATCAGTAAAGCATCCAACTATCACCATCCTCCTCCTCCTTCATTAAAACTACCCTTCACATGTGCGGCCTAATTACAAGGAACCATACCCACACACCATTGCCTATCCCCCTCCTCCCTACCTATTCTCTTATAACCCAAGCGCAATACACACCGCCTCTTATTCCACCTCTTTTACTTTTTTTTTCCTCCTCCTATCTCTTCCCTTGTCCCCTACCATCTCTCCTTACCTCCTTGTTTCCTTCCGCCTTACCTCCCTCCCCACCCCTCCCCCCTCCCCCACCATCCGTCCACCATCCGCCTCCTACCCCCTCCTACCACCTACCACCCCACCATCCTACCCCCTCCACCCCCACCATCCTCCACCCCCACCATCCTCCCCACCCCCACCATCCTTCCTCTCCATCCTTCTCCTCCCATCCTCCCACCCACCCCTCCCCCCACACCCTCATTCGCTCCCCCCACACAGTCCTCCTACCCCCCACCTCCCACCCCCCCCCTACCTACCTCCTCCTCCTACCCCCCTACCCCCTACCCCCTACCCCCTCCCCCTCCCCCTCACCCCCTACCCCTACCCCCTCCTCCTCCTCACCTTCACAATCGAAGTCCCACGGTGATGTTTCTCGAAAGATCTCCGCCTGTACAGCTGCCCTCGTGAACACCGGCATGTTATCGTTCACGTCTAAGATGTTGATCCTGATTGACGTGGTGCCTGTTCCTTGGGCGCTGCCGGAGACTTGCCGGGCTAACAGCTGGAGGGAGTGAAGGTGTGGTTGTTGTTATTGTTATTGTTTATTTGGTTTATCCTATTTTTATTTTTTTTATTTTATTTTCTTTTTTTTTTTTTTTTTTTTTTTTTTGCTTTTTTATATTTAGGCTAACAGCTGGAGGAGGAGTGAACGTTTTGTTGTTTATTGTTATAATTTTATTTATTTGTTATTTATTTATTTTTATTTTTTCTTTTTTTCTTTTTTTTATTATATTATTATTTTTTTTTTTTTTTTGCTTTTATTTAGGCTAACAGCTGGAGGGAGTGAACGTGTGGTTGTTGTTATTGTTATTGTTTTATTTGTTTATCTATTTTATTTTTATTTTTTTTATTTTTTTTTTTTTTTTTTTTTTTTTTTTTTTGCTTTTATTTAGGCTAACAGCTGGAGAGTGATGAACGGTGTGTGGTTGTTATCATTTTTACTTTATTTGTTTATTTATTTTATTTTATTTTTTCTTTTTCTTTTTTTTATTATTATTATATTTTTTTTTTTTTTGCTTTTATTTAGGCTAACAGCTGGAGGAGTGAACGTTGTTATTGTTATCATTATTTATTTGTTATTTATTTTATTTTATTTTTTCTTTTCTTTTTTTTATTATTATTATTATTTTTTTTTTTTTTTGCTTTTATTAGGCTAACAGCTGGAGGAGTGAACGTGTGTTGTTTGTTATTGTTATTGTTTTATTTTTATCTATTTTTATTTTTATTTTTCTTTTATTTTTTTTTTTTTTTTTTTATTTTTTTTTTGCTTTTATTTAGGCTAACAGCTGGAGGGAGTGAACGTGTGGTTGTGTTATTGTTATTGTTTTTATTGTTTATCTATTTTATTTTTATTTTTTCTTTTATTTTTTTTTTTTTTTTTTTTTTTTTTTTTTTTGCTTTTTATTTAGGCTAACAGCTGGAGGGAGTGAACGTTGTGGTTGTTGTTATTGTTATTGTTTTATTTTTATTTATTTATTTTTATTTTTATTTTATTTTATTTTTTTTTTTTTTTTTTTTTTTTGTTGCTTTTATTTAGGCTAAACAGCTGCTAGGGAGTGAACGTGTGGTGTTGTTATTATTTTTATTTATTTTGTTTATCTATTTTTTTTTTTTTCTTTTTCTTTTCTTTTTTTTTTTTTTTTTTTTTTTTTTTTTTTTTTGCTTTTATTAGGGCTATCAGCTGGAGGAGTGAACACGTGTGGTTGTTGTTATTGTTATTGATTTATTTGTTTATCTATTTTATTTTATTTTTTCTTTTCTTTTTTTTTTTTTTTTTTTTTTTGCTTTTATTTAGGCTATCAGCTGGAGGATGAACGTGTGGTTATGTTATTATTTTATTTATTTGTTTATTTAGATTTTTTATTGCTTTTATTTAGGCTATCAGCTGTAGGAGTTTGTTTATTTAGATTTTTTTTTTTTTTTTCTTTCATTAGGCTAACAGCTGGAGGGACTGTGAACGTGTGGTTGTTGTAGTTTATTGTGTTTATTATTTTATTTTTATCTTTTTATTTTATTTTTTTTATTTTTTTTTTTTTTTTTTTTTTTTTTTTGCTTTTATTTAGGCTAACAGCTGGAGGAGTGAACGTCTGTTATTGTTATTTTATTATTTTTATTTGTTATTTATCTATTCATGTTGGCTATCAGCTTGGAGGGATGAACGTAAACGTGGGTTATTGTTATTATTTTATTTATTTGTTTATTTAGATTTATTTGATTTTTTTTGCTTTTATTATTATTGTTTTTTTTTGGGGGGGGAGGGGGGTATTTATTAAATTTTGATTATTAATTTTTCATTGTTAATGTTGTTTTTGAAGGTGTATAGCTTTCTTAATAGTCGTTTTTTTTTCTAATACTGTGGTTATATTCGGATATCAAAACTGGGTTGGTTAGATGTAAATGTGTGTATTTTCATTTTCTTTCTGTTGTAATTTTCTATACGTCTCTCTCTCTCTCTCTCTCTCTCTCTCTCTCTCTCTCTCTCTCTCTCTCTCTCTCTCTCTCTCTCTCTCTCTCTCTCTCTCTCTCTCTCTCTCTCTCTCTCTCTCTCTCTCTCTCTCTCTCTCTCTCTCTCTCTCTCTCTCATTCTTTCCTCTCTCCTCTCTCTCTGTTATCTCTCCTCTCTCCTCCCTCTCTCTCTCTCCTTCCCTCTCCTTCCCTTTCCTCTTCTCCTCCCCTCTCCCTCCCTCCCAACCAACTCACCTTGAACTCAATCTTGCTCATGGTTTCGTAGTCCAACAGCTGCGGATTCTTGACTTTGATGATAAAAGCCCTGAATTAGTAAATACGACTTAACGGCGCAATTTCCGGCAATATCTTCGTCGCCTTTATTTCAAGGGCAAACATTCCGCGCACGCCCCTGTTGAGTAGGAAAAAGATATAAGTGAGTTTGTGTGTTTGTGTGTGTGTGGAGAAGGAGGGGGAGGGGAGGAGGGTAGTGTGGTTGTGTGGTAGGGGAGGGGGGGGGGGATGTGTATTGTGTGTGTGTGTGTGTGTTTGTTGTGTGTATATTGTGTGTTGCGTGTGTGTGTGTGTGTGTGTTGTGTGTGTGTGTGTGTGTGTGTGTGTGTGTGTGTGGTGAGGTGTGTCGTGGTGTGGTGTTGTGTGTGTGTGTGTGTGTGTGTGTGTGTGTGTGTGTGTGTTGTGTGTGTGTGTGGTGTGTGTGTGTGTGCATGTGTGTGTTAGACTTTATCACTCCTATATACCATTCCCATCATTCTTACATGTAGACTCATTTTTTCACCAAGAAAATCAAATATAACCAAGCTTTACCATTCACGATTTTAAGGGAAACAGACAGACAAAACAGACAAATAACATACCTTTTTGAGGAACGGAACGGGAAAAGAGATAACCGTGTCTGGCGGACTGTTCTTCGCTACGTACCTTTTTAATTAAAAATCGTTAATTCTCGTTAATTCGTACCTGTTTTGATTAAAAATTGCACTTCGAAAAAATCGTTAATTCTCGTACCTGTTTTAATTAAAAATCGTTAATTCTCGTTAATTCGTTAAATTCAATTCGAAAAAATCTTTAATCTTCGTTAATTCGTACCTGCTTTTAAAAAAATCGTTAATTCTCGTTAATTCGTAGCCTGTTTTAATTAAAAATCGTTAATTCTCGTTAATTCGTACCTGTTTTAATTAAAAATCGTTAATTCTCGTTAATTCGTTAATTGCACTTCGAAAAAATCGTTAATTCTCGTTAATTCGTTAAATGCACTTTCGAAAAAATCGTTAATTTCTCGTTAATTCCGTACCTGTTTTAATTAAAAATCGTTAATTCTCGTATAATTCGTTAATTGCACTTCGAAAAAAATCGTTAATTCTTCGTTAATTCGTACCTGTTTTAATTAATAATCGTTAATTCTCGTTAATCGTACCTGCGATTGATTAAAATCGTCAATTCTCGTTAATTCGTACCTGTTTTTAATTAAAAATTCGTGAATTTTTCGTTTATTCGTGTCGAAAAATGTTTTTAAAATGCTCGTTAACTTACCTGTTAATTAAAAATCGTTATTTCTCGTTGATTCGTACCTGTTTTAATTAAAAATTGTTATTTCTCGTTAATTCGTACCTGTTTATAATTAAAAAATTGTTATTGTCTCGTTAATTCTACCTTTTTAATTAAAAATTGTTATTTCTCGTTAATTCGTACCTTTTTAATTAAAATTGTTATTTCTCGTTAATTCGTACCTGTTTTAATTTAAAAATTGTTATTCTCGATTTTCGTACCTGTTGTTAGATTAAAAATTTGTTATTTCTCTGTCTAATTCGTACCTGTTTTAATTAAAAATGTTATTCTCGTTAATTCGTACCTGTTATTAATTAAAAATTGTAATATTTTCTCGTTAATTCGTACTGTTTTAATAAAAATTGTCTGATTTACTCGTTAATTCTACCTGTTTTAATTAAAAATTGTTATTTCTCGTTAATTCTACCTGTTTTGAATTAAAATTTGTTATTTCTCGTTAATTCCGTACCTCTGTTTTGCATAAAATTGTTATTTGTCTCGTTTAATTTCGTACCTGTTTTAATTTAAAAAATTGTTATTATCGGTTAAATTCGTACCTGTTTTGATTAAAAATTGTTAGTTCTCGTTAATTCGTAAGTTTTAATTCGGTAAAATTTAAATTTCCGTTAATTCGTACCTGTTTTAATTAAAAATCGTTATTTCTCGTTAATTCGTACCTGTTTTGATTAAAAATCGTTATTTCTCGTTAATTCGTACCCTGTTTGATTAAAAATTGTTATTTCTCGTTAATCGTACCTGTTTTGATTAAAAATTGCCATTCGAAAAAATCGTTATTCTCGTTAATCGATTAATTCAATTCGAAAAATCGTTTAAATTCGTTAATTCGTAACTGTTTAATTTAAAAATCGTTAATTCTCGTTAATTCGTACCTGTATTAATTAATAATCGTTAATTCTCGTTAATTCGTACCTGTTTTAATTAAAAATCGTTAATTCTCTTTAATTCGTTAATTGCACTTCGAAAAATCGTTAATTCTCGGTTAATTCGTATTTGCACTTCGAAAATCTTCGCCATCTTGTTTTTTTTCGCTTTGTTTTATTTATTATCATGATTTTTTATTATTATTATTCTTTCTTTCCTTTTTCGTCTGTTCGTTTCTGTTTTCTTTTAAATTTCAGTTGATATTGCTTTCTGTTCCTTCCTCTCTTACCTATTTTTCTTCTTTTTTATTATATTATGCTCTATTTTTTATCTGTTCTTTCTCCTAATTTCTCTCCTGTCTTGTGCTCCTTTCATTGCGTCTATTTTACTCTTCTCTCCTTCCTCTTCTTTCTCTTCCCTTTACCCTCTCCTTGTCTCCGTCCATTTACATCTCCCTTCCTCTATCCTCTTCTTCCTTTATCCCTCTCCCTGTCTCCGTGCACTTACATCTTTTCTCTCCTTCTTTCTTCTTCCTTCTTCCCCCTCATATCTCCTCTATCCCTATTCCCATTACTTAATCTCCTCTATCCCTCTCTTCTTATTTACTTACATCTCCTCTCTCCCTATTCCCATTTACTTACATCTCCTCCATCCCTCTCTCTATCCCTCTCTCTTATTTACTTACATCTCCTCTATCCCTATTCCCATTTACTTATATTTCCTCTATCCCTCTCTCTCTCCTCTCTCTGTTTACTTACATTCTCCTCTATCCCTATTCCCATTTACTTACATCTCCTCTCTCCCTCTCTCTCGTTTACTTACATCTCCTCTATCCCTTCTCTATCCCTCTCTCTTATTTACTTACATCTCCTCTATCCCTCTCTCTCATTTATATATCTTCTATCCCTATTCCCATTTACTTACATCTCCTCTATCCCTATTCCCATTTACTTATATTTCCTCCATCCCTCTCTCCTTCCTTTTCCCTCTCCCTATTCCCATTTACTGATATACCTTTCCATCTCCCTCATATCTCCTCTATCCCTATTCCCATTTTACTTACATCCTCTCTCTCTATCCCTCTCTCTTATTTACTTACATCTCCTTTCTCCCTCTCTCTATCCCTCTACCTCTTCATTTTCATCTCCTTTATCCCTATTCCCATTTACTTACATCTCCTCTCTCCCTCTCTCTCGTTTACTTACATCTTTATCCCTCTCTCTTTATTACTTACATCTCCTCTCTCCCTCTCTCTCTTATTGACTTATATCTCCTCTATATTCTTCCACATTTACTTACATCTCCTCCATCCCTCTTTCTTATTTACTTACATCTCATGGACGAACTTGGGGATCATCATGTCCGAATCCATGATCACGAAAGCGATCTCGACGTGGGACGTGTACATCTCCTCAGGGACGAGCGTGTCCGAATCCCTCAGTTCTTGCGCCGTCACGTTGACCAAGATTGGCTCCAGCGTCGTCATGGCTTCGATGAGACTGTTGACTGTGTCTTCGAGGGAGGAGGGAGGCACCTGGGGGGTAGGGGGGTTGGGGGGGGAGGGAAGAGAGGGGAGGGGCGTTAGATTGTTGCTTTGTTTTTCATGTCTCTCTCTTTCTTTTCTTCTCTTTCTTTTCTTTTTGTTTACGTCTCTCTCTCTCTCTTCTTTTCTCTTTCTGTTTACATCTCCTCTCCTCTCTCTTTCTTCTGTTTAACTCTCTCTCTCTCTCTCTCTCTCTCTCTCTCTCTCTCTCTCTCTCTCTCTCTCTCTCTCTATCTATCTATCTATCTATCTATCTATCTAAATCTATCTATCTTATCTCTTCCTATCTCTATCATCAATCATCAATCTCTCTCTCTCCCCTCCTCTCTCACCCCCATCCCCACGCACACCCACCACCACACCCACACCACCCACCCCACACACCACACACCCACCACACCCCACCCCACCCACACTCACACTCCCACACACCACCCACCCCACACCCACCCACACCCACCCACACTCCTTCAACCGCAAAAAAAAAAAAAAAAAAAAAAAAAATCAACAAATGCACCTGTTACTCACCTGTGACTGTAACTCACTCGTGACAGTAACTCACCTGTGACTGTTACTCACCTGTGACTGTAACTCACCTGTGACTGTAACTCACCTGTGACTGTAACTCACCTGTAATTGGGTTAATTGCGAAATATTTGGCGTAGAGCGACCAGGAGGCGATGATGGAGAAGCGTATAGGCCTATTTAACATCCTGTCGCCGTCCACTGCTTTTATGACGACTAACTCATCGCCCTGATAAAAAGGGAAGAGGGAGAATGTGAATGAATAATAAGGAAGGAGGAGAAAGAAGGGAAGAATGAATAATATGAGAAGAAGTATGAATATAGGGAAGTGGGAGAAAAGAAGAGAGGGAGATGGATAGAGAGGAAGTAGAAGAAAGAAGAATATGAAGAATTTAATAACGAGGAAGTGGGAGAAAAAGAAGAGAGGGAGATGGATAAAGTGGAGGTAGAAGAAAGAGGAGATGAAGAAGAATATGAATAAAGAGGAGGTAGAAGAAAAGAAGAGAGGGAGATGAATAAAGAAGAGAAAGAAGAAGAGGAATAAAGAGAAAGCAGTAAAAAAAAAAGAAGAAGAAAGAATAAGTAAAGAAGAACAAAGAAAGAAAGCAATAGAAAAAAAGATGAATAAAGAGGAGGCAGAAGGAAGAAGAAGACGAATAAAGAGAGAAATAAAATAAAAAAAAAAAAAATGTTTATTATCCGAATCGACTTTTCCTATGAAAGATAAACGAAAAATGAAAGAATTTGGTGAGCGAGTGGGAAAAATATGCCAATGGCCAAAGTGGAATGTTTAAGTGGAATGTTTACGTGGAATGTTTACGGGAATTTTGCGAGACAACAAGGAATTTTTTTGTTGTTGTTGTTGTTGTTGTTTTTGATTGTCATTTTTCCTGTGTTGTTATTTTGTTTTATTCTTATCATTCTTCATTCTTATTTTCATCATTGTCCACTTTATTATCATTGTTGTCATTGTCATTGTCTTCCTTTATCATTATCATTATTGTTATCATATCATCAATTAATCAATGTTGTTAATGTGTTCGTTGGCTTTGTTATCCACTCATCCCTCTCATTTTCTCTTCTATTCTCTCCTCTCCTTCGCTCCTCTCTTCTTTTCTACCCTCTACTCTTTTATTTCCTTCCTTCTTATTTTATTTTCTTTCTTTCTTCTTTCCCTCCTCTTCCCCTCCCGCCTTTTCCTTCTCCTCTCCTCCTCTTCTTATCCTCTCTCCTTCTCCTTCCCCTTCTTTCCCCTTCTACCATCTCTTCTCTCCTTCTGCTTATTTCGACTCATTTACTATTCTAATATAACATATTATAATACTATAATTTTATAATTAAACTATATAAAATACTTACTATAAATATATATAATACATATATTAATATTCAATAAAATATTTACTATTATTAATATTCTAAAATATAATCGTATTTACTATAATAATATAAATTTAAAAATTTATAATATACATTTAAAACAAATTATAAAATATAATATTCCAAAATAATTAAGAGATATATGAAGATCTAAGAGAGAGAGACAAAAGAGAGAGAGAGAGACGAGAGAAGAGAGAGAGAGAGGAGAGAGAGAGAGAATAGAGATGAGAAGAGAGATGAGAGAGAGAGCAGGAGCGAGGAAAGAGAGAGATAGATACGATAGATAGAAAGACCGAGAGAGAAAGAGTGAGACGAGAGAGACGAGAGACGACGAGAGACGCAAGAGAGAGGACAGACGAGAGGAGAGAGAGATCGAGAGAGACGAGAGGCTAACATCTAATTGAATTTAATTATTATTCTTATTTCTTAGCAAGGGACAGCGAGATAAGCAAAAAATATCTAACATCTAACCTGACGTTATATGAATTCAACCAGGCACGTCAATATATATATAATATGTTTATTTATTTAATAGATGCAAGTAGCACAAATCGAGAGCAAAACGAGAAATTATTGTTAGATAGAATTATGTATAGATATGTTATAGTATATGGAGAATGAATAGAAGGTAGAATTGAGGGAAAAGAGCGGAGGCGAGGGAGCAGTGTCGGGCCTGAGGAACGAGACCGGTGGCGGAGTGCGCGATGACTCCCGCGTACGCCAGCGGCCCGGACGCCGTGAGCAGGCGACGACCGCCGCGAGGGACGCGCCCGCCGCGCGACTGAGGAGAGAATGAGAGGAGGAGGGCCCAGCGCCGCGACGAGATAGAGGGTCAGCGGGAGTCAGAGGAGACAGACAACAGAGCAGGAGCGCTGATAAGCGGGCCAGCCGAGTGTGAGAGAGAGAGAGAGAGAGAGAGAGAGAATGAACGAGCCGTAGAGACCGACAGAAACAGAAAAGAAAGAAAGAAAAGAAAAGAAAAAAAAACAGAAAGATCACAAGGAGAACTCCACACCACCAGAATTAGGCTTACAAAGAACAGCTGAGAGAACAGCCCTGAGTCACGAGGGCCAATTAAACCTATTCTTTAAGAACGAAAAATACTGACAAATGGCCCCGTATAATTACTCGTCTATTACCCACACGCTATGCCATTCATCTTCCCGAAGTGCCAATGGCTCTAGTGAGTGCCAAAGGGGAGTGGCACTCGTCCTTTTGGCTTGGCACTCGTCGCTGGTTGGGACAGATTTATAATTTTGTGGTAAGATGGCCTTGTAATCTTGTAATCCTTCTTTTCTGATTTAAGAAGAATTGAGAAAGATGTGTGTGTGTTTGGTTGAGGATAGAATTTTGACATGATAATTGTTAATAATTGTTTTGTCATCATTATTCCCTTTTATTATCATTATTCATTTTGTGAATCATTAACCCTTTTTGAAATTCTATTATTCATTATTCCTTGTAAGACTTCTTTTTTCACTATCCAATGCGTCTTTTTCCACAAAGTCTACATTCTCGCTTCTTTGGACTGTCCCCTTTTTCCTTATCCCTTGTCCCTCATACCCTATTACCTACCCCCCCCCCCGCTACTCCCAAGGCCCCCAAAGTCCCAATTAAAATGTTTTTGGTGACCCTTACATGACCATACTTGCGTGTGTGGCTGGTGTTGACCTTGGGAGAGGGATAAGTCAGGATTGGTAGACTATTCTCTCTCTCTCTCTCTCTCTCTCTCTCTCTCTCTCTCTCTCTCTCTCTCTCTCTCTCTCTCTCTCTCTCTCTCTCTCTCTCTCTCTCTCTCTCTCTCTCTCTCTCTCTCTCTCTCTCTCCTCTCTCCTCCTCTCCTCCTCCTCCTCCTCCTCCTCCTCCTCCTCCTCCTTCCTTCTCTTCTATTACTCTCTCTCCTATTTCATGTTTTTGTTTCTTTTTTTCTTTCTCTCTCTCTAATTACACTTCTGGCCTTGACATGTCATATCTACCACAGCAAGTAGTTTATGGCTTTATGTGACCTTGTATTGATAATGCTATTTATGGGGGCTATATGTAGTCTCCATTTCTATTTCCATGACAGAAGGAATCAGCTGTTAGCCATCCAGGTTTGGAAAATTCTGTAGAAGGTATTATTCAGTCTTTGTAAAATGTCTTTGTTGTAATTGTTGGCCAAATATGGTGATAGATTCATTTGATAATAGCTGTAATATGTAATTCCTTTGTAAAGATGATGGTAATTGTTTTGTGCATATGGATAGATTTATTATGGTAATTAGGAAGATGATCTTAGAAGGTAATTTGATGATGATAATTAGGAAGATGATCTTAGAAGGTAATTTGATGATGATAA